TCTTCTCCATTCTCCTCTCAGGATTTTGGGCACACATGCACACACACCAGCATGAGTTTCAAGCCTCCAGGTCCAGGACTCAAACCGTGGTTGACTACATGGGAGTCCAATGGTTTAGCCATTATTCTATCTTGCGATCCCAAACGTTTTTGTTTTTGTTTTTGTTTTTTCTTGCTCTAGGGTGCATGCATTGACAAGAAAGAAACAGAAAGAGAGGGAAAGTGAGAAATCACCCCCAAGGGAAGATGACCACACTGCAATCCCTTCTCCTCCATTCTCCTCTTGGGAGTTTGGGCACATATGTTTTCCAAGCTATGTAGTCCAGGACTCGAACCGTGTAGTTAGCCATGTGGAATTTGGTCAGCTTATCTACCATGCCATTGGCTGGCCCTAATTTTGTTGATCTTTTTTTAATTAGAAAAAAAAACTTAGTTTTGTAAATATTCTCTATTGTTTTCATTCATCTCAAAGCATTTTCTAATTTTCTTTGTGATTTCTTCTCTGGCTCATTTATTATTTAGGAATACATTGTTTAATTTCCACATATTTGTGGATTTCCTACTATTCTTTGTTTTTCCTGTCTAATTATTTTCTTTTAAGTTTTTGACATGGGGCATGTATGCTTGCTCCAGAGAGACAGAGAGAGAGGGAAAGTGAGAAATCACCCCCAAGGGAAGATGACCACACTGCAATCCCTTCTCCTCCATTCTCCTCTTGGGATCTTTTTTTTTTTTCTTTTAAGTTTTTGACATGGGGCATGTATGCTTGCTCCAGAGAGACAGAGAGAGAGGGAAAGTGAGAAATCACCCCCAAGGGAAGATGACCACACTGCAATCCCTTCTCCTCCATTCTCCTCTTGGGATCTTTTTTTTTTTTCTTTTAAGTTTTTGACATGGGGCATGTATGCTTGCTCCAGAGAGACAGAGAGAGAGGGAAAGTGAGAAATCACCCCCAAGGGAAGATGACCACACTGCAATCCCTTCTCCTCCATTCTCCTCTTGGGATCTTTTTTTTTTTTCTTTTAAGTTTTTGACATGGGGCATGTATGCTTGCTCCAGAGAGACAGAGAGAGAGGGAAAGTGAGAAATCACCCCCAAGGGAAGATGACCACACTGCAATCCCTTCTCCTCCATTCTCCTCTTGGGATCTTTTTTTTTTTTCTTTTAAGTTTTTGACATGGGGCATGTATGCTTGCTCCAGAGAGACAGAGAGAGAGGGAAAGTGAGAAATCACCCCCAAGGGAAGATGACCACACTGCAATCCCTTCTCCTCCATTCTCCTCTTGGGATCTTTTTTTTTTTTCTTTTAAGTTTTTGACATGGGGCATGTATGCTTGCTCCAGAGAGACAGAGAGAGAGGGAAAGTGAGAAATCACCCCCAAGGGAAGATGACCACACTGCAATCCCTTCTCCTCCATTCTCCTCTTGGGATCTTTTTTTTTTTTCTTTTAAGTTTTTGACATGGGGCATGTATGCTTGCTCCAGAGAGACAGAGAGAGAGGGAAAGTGAGAAATCACCCCCAAGGGAAGATGACCACACTGCAATCCCTTCTCCTCCATTCTCCTCTTGGGATCTTTTTTTTTTTTCTTTTAAGTTTTTGACATGGGGCATGTATGCTTGCTCCAGAGAGACAGAGAGAGAGGGAAAGTGAGAAATCACCCCCAAGGGAAGATGACCACACTGCAATCCCTTCTCCTCCATTCTCCTCTTGGGATCTTTTTTTTTTTTCTTTTAAGTTTTTGACATGGGGCATGTATGCTTGCTCCAGAGAGACAGAGAGAGAGGGAAAGTGAGAAATCACCCCCAAGGGAAGATGACCACACTGCAATCCCTTCTCCTCCATTCTCCTCTTGGGATCTTTTTTTTTTTTCTTTTAAGTTTTTGACATGGGGCATGTATGCTTGCTCCAGAGAGACAGAGAGAGAGGGAAAGTGAGAAATCACCCCCAAGGGAAGATGACCACACTGCAATCCCTTCTCCTCCATTCTCCTCTTGGGATCTTTTTTTTTTTTCTTTTAAGTTTTTGACATGGGGCATGTATGCTTGCTCCAGAGAGACAGAGAGAGAGGGAAAGTGAGAAATCGCCCCCCCACCCCCACCCCGTGAGGGACAGTCAGGCTGCAAGCCTTTCTCCGTTCTCCTCTCGTGATTGTGGGCACTCTCGCACATGGGCCTGCTATGATTTTTCATGCTGCAGATCTGGGACTTGGACTGTGTCTGGCCATGTAGGAATCCAATCTCCTAACCTCCACTCCGTCTGTTCTTGTCTAATTTTATTCCAATGTGATCAGAGAACATAGTATTTATAATTTCAATTCTTTTACGTTTTGTTAACCTTGTATTATGGCCTGCCATGTTGTTTATTCTACAGAATATTTCATCTTTTTTCTTATTTTTTTGGATCACATTATCCCTATTGTCCATCTTCAAGTTTGCTGATTCTTCTGCAAGTTAAATTTGGTGAACCTCTCTGGTGAATTTTCCATTTTGGTTATTGTACTTTTCAATTCTAGAATTTTCATTTGTTCTATTTTTATCATTTCTCTTTTTACTCTCTATTTACTGAGACATAGTCATCATACTTCTTTTTAATATCTTCTCCTTTAGTTCTTTGAACTAAATGCTTATAATAACTGCTTTGAAGTCTTTGTTAAACCTGGTATCTGGGTTCTTTTTTTTAAAAAGGATTATTTTATTTAACTTTTTTTTTAATCCATTTTTTAGTTTGACCAGAGAGGGACAGAGAGAAAGAGGGAGAGAGAGAGAGCAGTGTGAAAACACGCCGCCAGGTCCAGGACTCAAACCATAGCTGACCACGTGGGAGTCCCGCACCCTTAACCACCACACCACCTGTCAGCCCATAGGTATCTGGGTTCTTTTACAGGTCGTTTCTGTTGCCTGTGGGTTTTCCCCTGGCTTACAGTCATACTTTCCTGTTTCTTTGCATATCTATTTTCTTTTTCCTGAAAATTGGGCTTCTTGGGTATTACAGTATAACAACTCTAGATTCTCACCTCACACCCGGGGCTCGTTTTGGTCCGTGGATCCTTGAGAGTTGCTCTGAAGTTGACGACACCGCAATCCCTTCTCCTCCATCCTCCTCTGGGGACTTGGGGCATGCACTCACATGCACCCGGCATCACGTTTTAGCCACCTGGTCTGGGACTTAAACCACACAATCAGCCGTGTGGGATCCAGCCGCTTAACCTCCATACCACCCACTGGCTTCACACATCCTTTAGGTTCACTTCCCGGGTCATTCCCCAGGAGTGGGCCCTCCTTCTCCTCTCAAGGCAGTGCAGGAACAGGTTCCAGTGTCCCCTGGGGCTGTGCCCTCGCCCACACGGCTCCTTTCAGAGACCATCCCACTGCTCCCAACGATTTTACCTGAGAGGCTTTAACCTCAGGAGTGTTTTGCCAACCAGGCTGCAGTTGAAAGAGACAGAAGCCAGTCTAAACTAGGTTGGGTTCAGGAGGATGCCGGGGTGGCTTTGAAGCGAGGCATTGGACCGGAAGTGTAGAGATAGCACATGCTCCAGGCTCTGCCCCGCCTCTCTGATGTGTCTCTGCCCCTCACCTCCCATCTCCCTTGTCTGGGGGGCTGTAAGAACCACTTGCTCTGGAGCCATACCCTTCCATGCCCTCCCACAGAAGAAACCAAATCTTTCTCTGTGCATTTCCTGCTGTCTGTCCTCCCACAGCACAGCTTCCTTTGTCCCCCCAGGAGCAGTCCATCTGCCCAGCTGCATGGCTCTGACCAAGGGGTCCTTAGGACGAAGGCTCCTCTCCTTCCAAGAACTCTGCTCAGCTCCTATTTCCTGCCCTATGCCAGTGACCCTCTTGCCTCCCCAGAAAGAGAACTGAGGCAGGAATGTCTCAAAGTGGTTCTATCCCTGCTTACACTCGAAAATCACCTGGAAAGCTTTGCAAAATACCAATGACCAGGTCTCAGGCCAGATGAATCAATCTGAATCTGTATGCTTACATCCCCGGGATTGGTATTTTGCCCTTGGTGACTCTAATGTACAGCCAAGGTTGCAACATCCTGAAATAGACATTCTAAGACACCCAGAGGGAGATGAGGGTGAACGTGAAGAGGTCCTGAGCTGCATCTTCCCGCCCCAACACAAACACAGGTTCCTGTCTCCACTATTAGAATCCTAAGACCCCGGAAGACCCTATCTGCCAGGAAATCTGCAAACCTTGTCCCTGAAACCACTGTCACTCTATCTTAGCTTGAAGCCAGTTGCTAGGGCCCCTCCTGGGACAGACAGACCACATGATGTGCTCATCTTGAAGGTGCTAGGGAGGAGTGCTAACTCCTGACCACAGTGATGGGCAAGTGGCCTCTCAAAGGTTTCTGTAGGAAGCGGGGGAGGTACTTCTGGGTGGAGAATCTGTATTGTTGTCCCTCTGGGAAGGTCACTGGGGCCTTAGGGGACCTTCTCTCTACCTTAAGTTTTCCTAGAGGAAACACCTAGAATGCTGGGGTGCAGAGGGGAGAAGGAAGTAAGAAGTGGAGGGTGTGGTCAGGGATGCCCAGAGTTGACTCTCAACCTTGGAAGTCCTCTAAAAAGCTCGCTGTCCATCCTCTTGAGAAGGGGTGAGAATGTGGATAGATGACTCAGTAACACAAAATTGATTCAGGCAAGGGTTACCGCATGGCTGCTCTATGTTGTAAGATGTCAGAGGGAAACACTGACAGCAAAAATAACATAAACAGAAAGGGTTGCCATACTAATACTTTTCACAGATCAATAGGAAACACACAAAGACCCTCAAAGAACCATAGGAATAAACAGATCATTCCCAGAAGATAAAAAATACCGATCATTGGGACCAGCAGTTAGTGTAATGGCTATGTCGCTGGACTCCCACGTAGTCGACTACGGTTTGAGTCCTGGAACCGGTGGCTTAAACTCACACCGGGCATGTGTGTGTGCATGCCCAAGATCCCGAGAGGAGAAAGGAAGAGAAGGGATTGTGGCATGGCCATCCTCCCGGGGGGTGATTTCTCACTTTCTCTCTCTGTCTCTCTCTGTCTGGCGAGCGCACGCGCCCTATAGCAAAAACCTCTTAAAAAAAAATACCGATCATTAACTCTGGCTAGTAATCAAAGAACCACAGTGGAACACCATTTCCATACTAAGTTAGCAAATTTTTATTTAATATCATAATGTCCAGCGCTAATGATGGCTGGAATAGTTCCTCTTTTTAAAATGTACTTTTAAAGTGTTCATTTATTTTTTCCTTGAGTCAGAGAGACAGACAGCACTCCTAACAAAGTCTCAGTGCTGGTAATCCGCCCACCCCAGCCAGCCTGGGATCACGGGCACATTCAAGTGTCATGCACATTCAGGGAGGTCTCCAGTCATGACCCAGGAACCTGCCCTGTGGGTCAGCCTTGCAGAGTGCGCCACCTTCTAGTCCCCCCGCCCTTTACTTCTCAATGTGCTTCTTCCACAAAGCAAACAGACAGGCAGAAACACCCCTAACAGGGTCTTGACGCTGTAATCTACCTCTACTCCCTGAGTACTATCCGGCTACTCGGGGAGGTCTCCAGACAAGTTCCACATCTTCCTGTGTGGGTCAGCCTCAGAGCACCTATTGTGTTTGACCAACCTGTCACCATCTGGAACCCCTTTTCTCTTTTTTATTTTTATTTTATTTTATTTTTATTTATTTATTTAGGAAAAGTTTTTTGCTATGCATGTGCTCTCCAGAAAGACAGAGACAGACAGAGAGATAGAAAGCGAGAAATCACCCCCCCAGGGGGGATGGCCACGCCACAGTCTCTTCTCCTCCATTCTCCTCTTGGGATCTTGGGCATGCACCCACACGTGCCCGGCGTGAGTTTAAGCCACCGGGTCCGGGACTCCTACTGTGTTCAGCTACATTGGAGTTCAGCGATAAAGCCATTATGCTAACTGCTGGTCCTTATTTTTATTTTTTTAAGGGCCATAAGGCTTTTGCAGTGACTGGAGCGAGACTGAGAGAAAGTGAGACATCACCCCACAGGAGGATGGCCACACCACTATCCCTTTTCCTCCATTCTCCTCTCAGGATTTTGGGCAGGCACACATGCACCCCACATGTTTCAAGCCACTAGGTCCAGGACTCAAACCACAGTCCGTCATATGGGAGTCCAGTGCTAAGGTAGAAACGAAGACACAAAGCAGTCCAATAAGTTGTCCAAAGCCACACTGCTTACGTGTACCGTACCCGCCCCTCTGTAGGTGGGAGTTGTAGTGAATATAAGGCCTTCTGAGGGCACTGTGGAAGCACATACAGACAGCTAAAAAATACGAGTTCCCTTTCACCTAGTGCTTCCGCTTCCAGGAAGCCAGCCTAAGTAACAGATCAGCCGTTTTGCTCTGGGCATTGACGTGCAGCAGCAGCACATGCATTACCAGTCCGCCGCGTCATAATGGAATTCAGCACGTGGAAGGGCAATGGAGCTGGCTCGCCTACCGCGCTGAAAGAAGATGCGAAAGCGAGCGCGGTCCATGCGTGTGCATTGTATGCGCCACACTAGCCGGTGTTTCCGTGGGTAGTGGGACCATCGACTTTCGTTTCTGCATCGTACTTTCCTCGGTTTTCTCCTATGAATGTTATTATGGGAAACAAACGCTAATGCCTTGTGTTCGCTGCTGCGTTTCCAGGACAGTGGGCTGGGAGGTGGGGGCGGGGCGCCGGCGGAACAGGAGCAGGTGGACAGGGCCGAACCGCACTCCGCCTCTGCAGCCAGTGAGGCACCTGGGCCCGCGAGGCCTAGGAGGGGCCGGACAGTTACCAACGCGGCCCGGGAAGCAGAGGAGCTGCCCAGGGGCTGCGGCGGCTAGAGTGGGCAGCTCCGCCGGGCCCAGGGTCCAAGTTCAAGCCTCTGATGGCCTCCGTGGACTGGACCTCTCTGTGGGCGAGAGTGGGGAGTCGAAACTCAGAAGGGAGCGAACGAAGAGGAGCCCAGCAACGACCAGCTCAACGTGGCTCCAAGCAGCGGGCGTTGAAAATTGCCTCGATTGTCACCTGGAGTGACACAGAGTCCAGGCAGCCCAGGTGGGCAGGGGGAGGTGGCGCGCGCCTCAGCGCCTCCCAGGTGGGGCAGGGCCCGGAGCGGGTGGGGCTGATGCTGCGGTGAAGCCCGCAGAGCCAGGGCTCCCTCTGGAGAGGGGCGGGGCGGAGGGCCAGGGCGCTTCCTCGTGGACCCACCTGCCCACCAGCCTGCCCCGGCCCGACCTCCCTGCAGCGTGCAGCGCCCTGGCTCCGCGGGCGCCCTTCCGCAGGACCACCCCTTACGCACTCATCCCTGCCCTGCGCTGTCTAGCCTCCCCGAGGAGTCGGACCACAGGGCCATAGGGCGCTCCTCCTACGAGCTGTTCGCCGCCTCAGTGGGCAACCCGGAGTGGTTGAGATTTTGCCTGAATCAGGACCCTGAGGAAATCGCGACCGACGACAAAGTAAGGGTTTCAAGGATCGAGGTTCCCCTAACCCCCAAAGAGCTTTCCCCATGGTGGGCACCTGGCGAAGGTCTCTGTAGCACCCCAAGATGTCTCTTTCTGTGTGGAGCTTCCTAAATCACCTCCTGACTGTGGAGGATCACCTGCTGGGCAAGGGGTAAGCTCATGAGCACACACCCTGAGTGAGAAAGGGGTGTGAGCAATTAATGGGGGTGTGAGGAAGAGGGCAAGGGTCACTAAGAGCTTGCTACAGAGGTTAATTTGCTGCCTCAGTTCCACTCAGCCTGCTTCTGCCTCACTCTGGGCCCCACAGGGCTTCGCTGCCACCCACTTTGCCGCCCAGGGGGCCAAGCTCGCATGCCTGAAGGTCTTGATAGAGGAGTACAAGTTTCCTGTGGACCTGCGCACCAGCAAGAGCCAGACCCCCCTGCATCTCGTCATCCATAGGGACAACAAGGCTATAGCCATCCCCTGCATTCGCTACCTGCTGGAGCAGGGGGCAGCCCTCAATGCGTGAGTTGGCCTGCATCTGCAGACGGGCCGGGAGCTGGGAGCTGGGCCGTCAGGAACCCCACTTCAGGCAGGTGGAGGGGCTGGCAGAGGGCACAAGGATCAGCTACCACATAAAGCAGTCAGTGAGCCCACGTAACGGGGTGACTGTGCTATCGGAGAGGACAGACCCAGCTCACGTCCCAGCTTTACATGGCAGACAGCAGGACCTTAGGCAGGTCACTTAACCTCAGCCTCAGTGCTCTGGTTCAAAACCGAGGTGCACATTGGAATCACTGCAGAGCTTCAGAAATAGCAATGCCTGGGTTTCCATCCCACAGTTGTGATGTGGTGTGGTCTGTGGTGTGGTCTGGGCTCTAAAGTGAAAGATACCAAAATGCAGGGCCGTCAGGTGTTGTGGTGGTTAAGGGCACTGGACTCCCACATGGGTCGACCGTGGTTTGAGTCCCGGACCTGGTGGCTTTCTTTCTCTCTCCCTCTCTCTCGCTGTCACTCTGTCCTTCTCTGATCAAATTAAAATAAATAAATAAAATGCAGTTCAATAAAATAATTCTGAAAAAAAAAAGATACCCAGATGTTCCTAATTTGCAGCCAAGTTTAGGAACCACCACCTCTGTGTCTTCAGCTGAAATTTGGGAGGATGGCAGTGCCTATCACCGGGGACTGTTGTGATGAGTAGAAAACGCATGGAAAAAAGACTACAGGGGTTCAAAATCTTCACTGAGCACGAGCCATGTGCGAGCACCATGCCAGAGTTAGGGGACACAGCAGCAAACACAGAAATGGTACCTGCCTTGTGAAACTGACAGGCCAATGAGAAGCAGATGGTACATTAGCAAACGCACAAATGAACGAAATCCTGGCAGGGCATGGGCAGTGCTCACCAAGGGAATAAACGGGGCAATGGGCGGGGAGGAAGGGGTCAGGAAAGGAGCTATTTCAAAAGAAGCAACTACTTCTAAGAAGGTGGCATTTAAATTGCACCCCAAAGACTGATAGTGAGCCAGCCATGCAAAGAAGCAGGGAAAAACATTCTAGGCCAAGGGAATAGCATATGCAAGGGCCATGTGCTGGGAAAGAGCGAGGCAAGGTCAAAGGATGAGGCTGAGCAGGCAGCAGGGCCCAGGTCACACCGGCCTGTGGGCCATGGCAAGGCACAGAGAAGGGCTGGTTGATTTAAGAGTGGGTGAGGTTCCCCTAGGGGGTGATTTCTCACTTTCACTCTCACTGTCTCTGTCTGTGTCTCTCTCTCCGGCCCTAATGCAAAAACCTCTCCTCAAAAAAAACAGAAGTGGATGAGGCGGGACCAGCAAATGCCACATAATGATTACGTCACTGGATTCCCATGTAGCTGACTGCAGTTTGCGTCCTGGATCCAGTGGGTTCAAACTCACACCAGGCATGTGTGCGTGTGTGCCCAAGATCCCAAGAGGAGAATAGAGGAGAAGGAAGGGATTGCAGCATGGCCAATGATTTCTCATTTTTTTTCTCTCTCTCTCTGGTGAATGTATATGCCCTATAGCAAAAATCTCTCCCAAATAAAAAAGGAAAAAGTGGATGAGGTTAGTGGTTTCTGAGCTAGACTAACTCCCCCTCCAGCAGTTCCTAATGTCACATTACCTACAGTCAGGTTTGAGCTCTTCTTTCAGTCCAACTCCTCCTTCTACAGTAGAGGAAGCTGAGGTGCAGGGAGGGGAGGGAGCAGGGCCCACCCAGGGGGCTGGTGGCAGAGCAGGGCCTGGAACCTGGCTAGCTCACCTCTCTGGCTGATCAGATGCCTTTGTCCTTCCTTCTGCCTCTTCCCCACTGGGGAGCCCTCCACAGTCAGACGTGCAATGGTTCCACACCCCTGCACCTGGCAGCCCGCGAGGGCCTGCTGGCCTGTGTGAAGTTCCTGGTACAGAGTGGTGCAGATGTCCATGCCCGAGATGCCATGGGTTGCAAGCCCATCGACCTCTGCAAAATATGGAACCACCGCACCTGTGCCCGGTGAGTGTGAGAACCACATGCAGCCTGCTTCCCTCCCCCGACCTCTGCCAGTCCTTCCCCAAGGCCCCCACCCAAGGCTGAGTCTGTAAGAGGAGTGTCTGAGAAGCTAGATGGCTCGGGATAAGTCTGCTCAGAAGCCCTCCTGCCCAGGATATTACTGGCAGGGCTTTCCCCAGGACCCACTCCTTTGGGTTGAGCACTGCCCTCCGTCCCTGCTCTGGGACTCCTGGCTCTTCAGTGGGAGAGTGGTAACCAGGCCCTCAGACACTGTCCTCTCACATCACAAGTAGGATCAGCCAGAGGGCTCTGGAGCGTTATCCCATTGTTCTCGCCCCTGGCAGCTCCCCCAACCCCTGCCCAGACCCTCAGCAGCAGCCCGCCTTCCCAGCCCAGGTAGAAGCTCTGTCACTGTGGGATGACACACCCCTACCTTGACACCAGGTTTTTGAAGGATGCCATGTGGAAACGGGACAAGAAGGACTTTGCCTGTGAAATGGGGAAACTGAAGAAGCTCAAGGACCAACTGATCGTCCTGGAGCAGAACTACCTGGCTGAGTATCAAGTAAGCCGCAGGCCCTGGCAGGCCCGCCAGGCTCAGTGGCTATGCAGGCGTGTCTGCAGAGAAGGCGGTGCCCCACAGGTGTGGTGGGAGGGGTAGCTGGAAGCACCCCCACCTAGAAAGAAAGCACCCCCTCCCCTGGACTCTGACTGCAGTTCCACCTTTATAAGCCACTCCCCTTTAGGTCAAAGTCTTATCTTGTGTTCGAAACAAATACAGCTTAAATGAGCAAGTATTTTTGAGGCCCTCTAGTTCACTGCCGCCTTCAGCATGAGAATCCCTAATGAGACTCAGCCTCCGCCTATAATTGGGACTCACATTCTGGTTATAAAGAAGATCCTGGGCAGATCCTGTGACTTAGAGTTTAGGGAGACAGATGCCACACAGCTGACCGAAGTTCGAATCTTAGCCCCAGTGGCTCGAAAACATGCCATATGCCTATGTGTGCATACTCCAAATGCCAATGGAACAGGAAAATGGAGAAGGAACTGCAGCATGACCATGTCCTGCTGGTGGGTACTTTCTCCCTCTCCCTCTGTCTTTCTCGGGTGAGTACACATGCCCACTAGCAAATAAAAAAGAAGAAAACCCTCAGCCACTCACTCTGTGCTAGGCACGCTAGACCCCAAGGCTCCAAACATGAACACAATGTGGTCCTCACACTCCAAGCATTCATTGTCTAGAGGAGGCAGGTTAGAGTCTCATACACAAGGGAGGGGTCTAGGAAGTGTTGGGGGGGATTATACATAAGAGGGGTCTTTAAGTATGGGTGGCAGGGGCCATATGATGGTGTAGGAAAGGGGTGACCATGCAGAAGCCATGTGGAGAGGCACGGAGGCCCACGGGCGCACAGTGTGGGGAGAGAACTACACACACTCATCAGAGAACCGATCCCCAGTACAGCCTGGGGATTTGATGTGAGTTGGAGATTGGCAAGTTAGAGACCTGGCAGGGGCCCAGATCAATGAAGGATGTCAGCTGAGGAAGAAAGGTTTTAAGCAGGTTTTAATTACATGGATGCAAAAAGCAGCAAACCCAGAACAAAGATTCTGGTCATCTGTAGTAGATCTCTTTAGCGGGGAGGATTCAGGCTGGTTCAGTACCGGAGCTCTGTTACAGCTGCACTTCTCCCCAGGGTTCTCGGCCCTAACCTCCTGCGTTGTCCAGACGAGGCAAAGCCCATCTGTTTCCTGTGGGTCCAGCCTTCCCAGGAATCCCATGCAGATCTCCCCTATCTCTTACTGACCTCAGTTGGATCATGCGTCCAATACTTGATCCAATGGCTAGAACTAAAGGAAAGCCATCTGCTGGTTGACTTAGGTCTGGGGCAAGGCTGATGGAATTACTCTGATGGGCTTAGCCTAACCAGAGCCTCCCGGAAGCTGGGTCAACCTCCAAAGCACCTGACTGCTTAGCAGCAGTCTAGGAGTGAGACACTGAGACAAAAGGGTGGGGAGGAGAGGGATCAATGACAAATTTAACCCCACTGGAGGCAAGAACAGAGCTAAACCCAGTCGTTGTCACCCAGCCTAGAGAGACAGCTAACTGTACCCTCCTCGCATGACTTCTCATGGCCACCACTTTCAGGAAACCTGTTCACATTAGTGCTACCCAATTCCAAGCCTCCCGAGCATTTCTGCTTTCTTTTCCCCAGACAAGAGTGCAGTGTGCACTTCTCATTTGCCTTTCCTCCATCAAACCAGAGACTTTTCTGGCAGGACTTGTCTCCACTGTCAGACGGGGATTCCTTTGTGGGAATGAGCCTTGTCTCCCCTTAAGGCTTGAGGTTTTCCTAGGGCAGGGGCAGTGTCTCTTCCATCAGAGTTGAGGTCTCTCCCATCACCGAAGGGCTTCCTTAGGGAAAAAGTTGTCTCTCTAGGACATCAGAACACTGGCTCCCGGGACAGGTGCCTGTCTCATCAGCTCAGGATTTCCCTGGGGCAAGGACGGTATCTTGCTAATCAGGCCTAAGGTTTCCAAGGACTTTGGCTGCAGGGCCTCCTTCCAGAGAACTATGGTGGGGTGGGGCAGGGTGGGATGGGAAGCTGGGCCGGGTGGGAAGCAGCTCTCCACATCTGTCTCGTGCCATCTGTTGTTGCAGAAACAACTCCAACTTCTGAGAAAAGCTGATTACAGGAAGTGGCTCCACTGCAAGCAGCTGCTAGGCCAGAGACACTCCCTGAACCCCCCCACCAAGCAAGAGGCCAGTGCCCCACCAAGGACCATCGCCCTCTCCATGGCCTCAGAGTACCAGGGGTTGCAGCCTTCGAAGCACTTCCACCCCTTTGCGAAGGTGCACCGGCAATGCATACCACAGCCCAACGACACAGTCAAGCCCATCTACCCACAGCAAATGGTTAGGCGGCCCGAGATGTGGAACTCTAGCAACAACCCTGCCAGACCCCCCACCACCCAGATCAGCTATCCGCAGGGCATCCGCATGAGCGTGCATCCAGACCCCAGCGGGGAGCACGACTTCAGCAGCTTCTTGAAGGTGACGCCCGACAGGCACGGCGGTGCGCGGCTGCGCACGGTGGACGGCCACTGGGTGGCGCCCGTGCCTCGGCTGCCTTTCGAGGTGGTGGTCCGTGCGCTGTACCCTCAGGTGCAGCCCTATAGGATGAAGGTGCCCCAGGGTCTTTACCCCATCAGCATGCAAAGCATGTCCGGGAAGCGACACCTCGGGAATGACAACTTCTGGACTGACGCTCTGGCCATGAGCCTGCGTGAGACATTTGATGAAGCCTTCCTGGAAACCATGAGAGCTCATGGAGGGCTTCCTGCTCTCCCCTCTCCCAAGGCCCCCCTATAAAGTTATTTTAGTAGCCTCTTGACCTGCCGCAACTCAGCAAAAGTGGAGGTGTGGCGA